GATATGTATACACATATACACACACACACACACTTTTAAAAATTCTGGTGTTTGTTAAGACAGTTACCTTTAACTGCTGCATAGACGTGAGTCAAAATACAAGATGGTTTTGTGGAAACTGAGCCCTGCTTTCTAAGAGAGGTGCTGTGGAGAGGGGATTGTGCAAGGCTCAGCCCTTCCCTGGGCCACCCTAGGCAGGTTAGCTCTCTGGCTATCAGCTTCTCCATATCTATCAGGGGGATAATAATTGTAGCCTCCTCCTGGGGTTGTTCCAGGGGAAGTGAAATTATAGATGCATAGAAGGCAAGCCTAGGGCCTGGAATATGGTGAGATTTTTTAAAAATTTATTTATTATTTTTATTTTATGCGTATGAGTGTATTGTCTGCATGTATGTAAGTGCACCTGAGGAGGTCAGAAGAGAGCATCAGATCCCCTGGAACCGGAGTTTCAGAAGGTTGTTAGCCACCGTGGGGATGCTGGGAGCCAAACCTAGGTCCTCTGCAAGAGGAGCCAGTTCCCTTAACCACTGAGCAATCTCTCCAGCCCCAAATATGGTAAGATTTTTTTTAACAAGTGCTAATTGTTAATATACATGAGCATTTCCTCAGACAGAAATCTGAAGTGCTCTGAAATCAGATACTTGTTGAGCCTTAGGTCAATTCTCATAACAGTTGCAAATGCTCAAAAATCCACAAAACTCCATCTGAACCACTTCTGGTCCCAAGCACTTTGAATAAGAAAGAGATGCTCAGACTAAACTCTTGATTAGCTGAATGATCACAGGTTTAAGTTAGGAATGAAGCAGAGGAGGGATGAAAGCTGTGTGTTCCCGGGGCAAGGGGTCTCTCAGAGGTCATCTCCTTTAATGTGTAATGGCTTCTCAGTAGCTAATTCCAGAGATGTCTGCATTCAGCAGAGAGGCTGACGGTGAACTCAGCGGTAGTGCAAGATCTTCACAGCAAAGTGTAATCTTGTTTGTTGTCATAGTGCAGCTAGCACAAAGTCTGGCCTTGATAAGTAGTAGCTATTCATTAGAGTTATTTTAGAGGTTTGGAAAATGTATTTGTATACTTAGCAAAAGAAAGTCCCAATGTTGTGAGGGTATCTGACAAAACTTTTTAGTTCTCTTAAGGTCAGTGTGTAGAAAATGTATGTTAGTTATGACTACAGTAATGCTCTGTAACAAATTACCCCAAACTGAATGTATGAAAACAGTAAGCATGTACTTTTCTCTGTGCTGTCTATTGGCTTGGGGTTGGCTGATCTAAGCTGCAGGTTGGTTCCAGGTCTCTCTGAGTGGTGCTCACCCTCCTTGGACCATTTGGCCACCTAGGTCATACTCTGGAGATGACACAACCTGTTCATCCTGTTCAAGCACATCCATGCTCCTGTTTTTGTCACATTCTGCTAAGGTCCAGGTAGACAAAGCACATCAAGTGGCCAAGGACAAGTTGTAGGGGTGGGGAAGCCTGCTGCTGGAAACTTCAGTCATATGACCAGAGGGTGTGGCTCCAGGGCTGGTAAAGAACAAGGGTCACTAATTTATGGTCCTCAGTTCCCCATTTAGCTTCCCCAATTTGGTCCTGCAGTCGGTGGCCCAGAAAGGCTTTCCTCAGATGGGGAGCGTCTGTGGTTCTGCATCCCATTACGAATCCAGGAGCACTGCACTGGAGCGGGCTGGCACGTTGCAAATTCCCCTTTGGTCTCCGAAGGCTTCTCTCTGACAGACAAGAATTTACTCTACTGTAAACCAAAGAGTCCCGATTTAGACAGACAGGATGGATTAGGCAGACGGCATCATTGACCCAGTTCCACTTCGTTAGCCTTTCCAATTAAGGAGGATGTTTGCTGCCAGTGAGACCTCACAGATATGTAGTCATACCTTGAATCCTCTGGACTGAGCCCATTTAGGGAGAGTCTCACATTTCCAGTGTGCACCCAGGGAAGAGAAGGAAATGTGGTTGGCAAGAGAACCCTGAGTGTTAAAGACACAACCCCTTGTGTAAGTACTTTATCCTCTTCCTGGCCAGTTAATTAAGATGCTAAATAAAGACCCTTTGTGCTCCCTCTCTCAGAAGCTTAGACCCCTGACCATGTGCCACAGGGTCTGTGATCTTCAAATACCAGATAAAGAGTAGATGCTTTGCTGTATCCAGGGACCAGGCAGGCCCTTGGAATCATCCACACGATTGGCGGGGATTTTCTGTGGCTTTCCAAGGTCTTTCCCAGTAAAGTTGTTCTTAGGGGTTCAGGATAGCATTCCCCACTTCTTCCCCATTGTAGGATTCTGGGCAATGAAGCATAAGCACCACACAATAGCCAAATGGGCTGTGAAGCACAGCTTAATTAATCTGGGCACATATCCAATACCCAGGGCAGCACTTGCTAGAATTTGGCTTTGGAGAAGGAGGCTAATTTTGAGGCTGAACTACAGCATCTTAGGTTCTAACTCTAATCTAAATAAGTCTGAATGGACAGGCAGATAGAACAGACAAAACAGGTACAGGCTGGCAGTGACATGAAGATGAGGGGCTGCCTGGTCTCACCCTTGGGCTGCACAGGGGTTGATGCCCACTGCCAGCCACAGATGGGGAGGATGAACTTGCTTCTTGAAGACTAAACTAAGTCCTAACCCTCTGTGGTTATTTAACAGGGAGCAAAGGAGTGAAGGCTCACTCTCCTGCCTCATACACCATTTATCATACAAATAATATGTGCTGGCTAGAGGGGGCTTTGTGAAGGATGCGTAAAGTAGTGAGACTGCTCCCCGCAAAGAGTGGCTTAGTAAATGCTGAGGTGTCATGAATCAAAGCTGAACCATACCTTTGGCAAAGAGCTAGGAAGGTCTGCAAGAGAAAGGCCTGAATTGTTTCTCTTAGTCTCTTCAAATGTTCTTGACAGTCAGCTTTGCAATGTGCTAGGGTGTAGGAAAAGCTTCCCTCAAAGATGTCCTGGGTGTGAGAGCTGATCTGGGCTTGGGTTGTGTGAAAACGTGAGTGTGGTGTTTCCCTGGCAACATCCCTGGAGCTGTACCCGGGCAGTGCTGGAACTTGGACTCAAAACTGAAATGGGGAGTGGGTGTGGAGAAGAATTCTTCACCTTGAAGGAAAGTCCGGAGCTTAGAATGTGCCTGAGATCACATTTGACTGTGTCACGGTAAAGATACTGCAGAACAGGGTCAAAAGACAAGTAGGACCCAGCCTGTGGTGCATACCTGTAACCCCAGCACTCTGGAGGCCCAAGCGGGAGGATCCCTGCACGTTCGAGGCCAGCCTGGCTACACAGTCAATACCTCCCTCAGAAATAGTGTAAAATTTTTAAAGGAAGCAAGTGGAATGAGGCCTGGTGATACAGTCCCGTGATCGCAGCTATTCAGGAAGCTGAAGCAAGAAGACTTCCCTTTCAAGGCCCATCTTGGTGACAGTGAACTTCAGGGCAGCATGAGCAACTTAGTGAGACCCCATCTCAAAACACAAAGCAAAAAGCAGGGGTGAAGATGGTAGCCTAGCATGAGGCCCGATGTTCAATCCTCAGTTACACACACACACACACACACACACACACACACACACACGAGAGAGAGAGAGAGAGAGAGACAGACAGAGAGACAGAGAGACAGAGACAGAGACAGAGACAAAGAGAAACTCACAAACAGAAAGTAAGTGACAGCTCTTCCCCAGCTGGAGTTTAGAATGTTCCAGCTTCTCTTCACTTTCTCTTTGTTCCTAGTACCTGAAGGTAGGTTGGTACTAATTTGCATGGCTCCCTAGAAGCCTGTGTGGGAAAATCTGCTGTGACAGAGCCAAGCTTCAAAGTGCCCCCCAAACCCTTAAAATCAGTCATTCTCTATAAAGAGCCAGCTAAAGTTGTTTTCCCAGAATTATGAACACATATGATGGTTAAGTTCGGAGCAGACATGGCACAGACAAAAATAGCCTTTATGTACTGGGTTTCCTGTTTTCCTTGGAAACTGCTGGGGGGAGGCCATCACCGTCTTCCATTAGTGCCTTCCTTCTTCTTCTGTCCCCACCCTGTCCTTCCAAGTCAGGAATCCTGCTTAATGACCCGAGACTACCACCCAGCATTCCCAGTCAATTGGCTTTTGTCAAGAGTGAATGAATGGGATGTTTCTCTGGCCTTCTCCAGCCTGAAAAGATCTTCCCTGCCGGGTGGAATCTGCTACTCAAACCGGGAATTTGGCTCCTTTTCTGTCACCTCATTTCCTCACTCATTCTTTGCAAGATTAGACACAACCTTACAGCCTTGCTTCTAATCAGACTTTGTATTTATTTCTAATCCTTTTATGGGCCCAACTCTCTTTCAAATGGAGGAAATAAATACACTGGAGATATTTTGCAATGGTGCTTTTTTTTCTTTCATGTGTGTTTTTCTGCATATGTGTAAGTGTGTGAATTCATGTTTATGTGGATACATGTATGTATGGCTTGTATAGATATATGGAGACCAGAGGTAATCTCAGGAGACATTCCTCAGGAGCCATCCATGTTATTTCTTCACACAAGTGTTTCTCACTGGCTTGGAGCTTACCAGTAGTCTAGGTTGACTGGCCAATGAGCCCTGAGGACCTCCTGTTCCTGCCTCCTCAGCACTGTGCTGGAATTACAAGCACAGGCCACCACAGCTGGCTTCTTTGGTGGGTGCTAGGGATTGAACTTGGGGCTTCATGCTTGTGTGGCCAGCACTTTGCGGACCGAGCAGTCTCCCCAACCTTCCTTCTTCTGGCTCCTCATTGTTTTGCACGATCTCTTCAGGGACAAACTCAAGCCTCCTTTATCACTTGGGTTTGGGAAGGAGTACCAGGGATGAAGAGGGGCTGGATTGGCTGAGCTGTTCTGGCATCCTTAGATAACAGGAAAGGGCAGAGTCAGGCTGTCCCCACCCAAATAGGAAACTCAAGCTCAGTTTGAAAGCAAAGCTTAGGTAGGAAATTGACTCCCCCATCCCACCACTACCTGTACTTTCTCCTCTCTCCCCACAGGATCCATATCCAAGTCCTCTGATCACCTTGGAGACCCAGGTGAGTGCTTCCCATGATGGTTGTCACTTATCTGTCTTGATGCTCTTGGACCATCCCTCAGGGGTATCTGTCCATCTTCTGGGCCCCACACCTCAGAAGGGCTAGACAGGTATGCCATGCTGTCCTCGTATGCCATTCGAGTATGTGGTGTGCTCATACACATGTACCTACACTGACTGATTGTGCAGCATACATGTATATAATTGTGTATACACATACACAGGCAGGTCTCTGAATGTACCTCCTACCTAGTAATCCCAAGGAAGTGATTAGAGAGAGAGAGAGAGAGAGAGAGAGAGAGAGAGAACAGAGGAGTTGCAGAGTCGGAGATGATGTGTACTGCTTTGTTGAGTTCAAAGACTGCTCCTTGGCACTTGGAGCATAGATGCTACTGGAAATTTAGGGGACTCCTTCAAGAGTCTCCATATGTGCCTGAGAAAATTGGACTTTGGGATTCTTAGTCTTATTAATGAAAGAATATAAGAATAGATGCAAATGGAGGCTGAAGGACAATTTAATTAGAGCTTAACAGAAAAACCCCAGGCCCCAGCAAGCTGTAAATCTTGGCAGCTGCCTGGAAGAGGAGAGACAGAAAGAGAAAAAGGCATGCCATCTGAGTTAAGCCAGCAGAGAGGTCAGCCACATGGAGGACAGGCAGCCCTATGGCAGTAAGGGGGCTTTAGAGAGAAAATGAGAAGCCCAAAGCACCCAGGAAACCGTACTTAGGCTTTGGCTAACATCCAAAAGAGAAGAAGAGAAGAAAAGAGAAAATTGCTTGACTCAGAAAAGCAGACAAACCTAGCCAAGCATCGTGGTGGCTTGTAGGGACTGCGCTAGGGGGCTGGAATTCTGGGAAGGAAAAGTAGATTATCTCATTAAAGGGCTAATTATTCCTTCTGTCTCTTTAGCTTGGCTTAAGGTCCATAGCCTTCTGGAAGGGTGGCCAGGTGACTGACAGACTCAGCTGGATTAACTCTGGGGAGGAGAGTTGTCTTGTCGCCACTCAAAGACAGATTCCATTTTTTTGGTGAGGAAGCCACACCTTTCCCTTCCCCATAATGGGCCTCCAATGCTCTGTAACAGTAGAATCCAGCTGCCAGGGCAGGAAGTTGCATTGTTCTGTATGCTTGCTTACTGGAACATTCTAAGTAATCCAGTTGGCAATGGTGTTTCTGTATGGGACAGGTGATTCGTGGGCCTAGAGATAGAAAATATGGCCTGGCCCTGATGTCTTCTTCTCTTTGCTTTCCTGTGGATGCATACCTCAGAGCCTGTTAGACCCAGGCGGAATATAGTTCTGTGCCTTCCACCCTTACAGTGCTGCTGCAACTGTTTAACCTCTAAGCCACTCTTCTATCTGGAATGTTGCTGCCATGTTGGTGCCACCTGGCAGGGTCGTAGTGAGAATCATGGGAAATGACGTCCAGAAAGCCAGAGATGTGCACAGTGCTTGTATGAGCTTTTCAAACCACAGGACTATAGGTTCCCTACTGTATTCAAAGGGGATGTGTCTCTGGATTGATCATCTCCTTAGCTCTGTGGGTTGGTCAGACAGCAAAGAGAGAAGGAAGACAGGCTGGAACCCCTGCAGAGCCCCAGAGTGAGCTCTTTCCAGATATCAGGCACTGTCAAACCTATTGAACATCTCACGGACGAATAATGGCTCCTTGGCAGACTTCTACAGCAAGCTGGCAAATGCCACCTGCCTTCCTCTTCTGTCTCTCCCCGCCCTGGGTCCTTGCCTGTCATCAGCATCTCTGCTTGAGTGTCCCCAAGGGGAATGAGGAAGATCACAAATCCACCTTGCTTCAGGGTGGTCACACTATTAGGAAGCCCAGAAGCTGTGGGGGAAATGCATCCTCAGGGTTTCCATGATTTGCCTGTCCTCTTGTATGGCTGCTCCAAGGAGGACCAGGCCCCAGGGATGGCAGAACAGAATAGCAGGTGCAGCTCCAGGAGAAGCGTCCCAGGTCCTCTTTTCTGCTTCTGCTTATTTTCCCATGCTTTGCACACCCTGATAGCCTTTGTCTTTGTGTGTGAATTTCACCTGTTCCCTTAAGTCATCTAACAGTACATGTTTTTCTTAACTGAAGTCATTAGACTTTAAGAACCAGAGTAAGCCACAGCGTCTCAATCTGAGATGATTTTGACATTTAGGGTTATCTCATCTGGTTATAGGGTGTGGCTTTATCCCTAAAGATGGAGATGGGGTTCAGTGTCTTGCAGTGCATCATCCAGCCTGCTTGATGAGCTTCAGTCCAGTGAGAGACCTTTTATCCAAACAAACAACAACCACCCAAGTGGACAGCACCCCAAACTCAATACCTAAGGTTGGCCCGTTTCCCACAATGGAAAAGAATGATCCAGCCCAAAGTGCTGCTAGGGTCAACATTGAAAAACATTGTCTCATCCTTCTGTTGGTGAAATCACAAGTTTGAAGTAGTATGTATGTGTGTGTTTATATATGTGTGTATATATCCATGTTTATATGCACACATGCGCATCTGTATACGTATATTTACACAGCATTAAAATCAATTCTAAACTATGAAAATAAAATTAAAGTGCTCTGTTGGGTGCCCTCCAAAATCATTCATGTGAATTCCCAGATAATCTGTGTACCACTTTGGGAAGCGTGTCTGTTTTCCTGTCCACCCAGTTGATTGTGAGAGAGTGAATGCCCAGATGTCCAGGCTGGGTTGTGAAATGATGGCTCTTCTTTTCTTGCTTAACCTTCTCCAGAAGGCAATCTGTTAGGCTCTGGCAAGCTGTGGGCAAACAGTCCACGTTCAGAACACTGGAAGCCAAGTCTTACCTTCTCTGCCCTTCGCTCTAGACTCCAGTCAACACTTCAGAACCTCCATGGGAATGGGCAAGCAGGCATACTGTAGCTCTGAGTAGTAGATCATGAGGGTGTGGTTTCCCTGCATAATGAGGGCATGGCTCCCCTGCATAGTGATAGCTCTTGTTAAACTTCCATCTCTTGAATAAAGGGAAGTAAATCTCAATCACTGGTGGCATAAGGCTCACTCTGAGCATCTGTGCCACACTTATGGGGAAGTAGCTTGACTTGTTTCCAGCAACACATTAGTTTTATCTGGCTCATGGTCTTTGGTTGAGTGGGCTATAGCATATTGCCATCTTTCTGAGTTCTGACTTTTTGTGTTAGAGAGACATTGTGGGGGCCTGGAGAGATAACACAGTTGGTAACATGCTTGCCCCAGAACCCAAGTTAAAATAAATAGTAAGCTGGGCATTGTAGCATACTTGTAATCCAAGCACTGGGGGACAAAGACAGGAGAATTCCTGGGGCTCACTGGCCAGCTGGTAGAGCCTACTTGATAAGCTCCAGGCCAGTGACAGACCCTGTCTCAAAAAACCAAAGTGAATGATACCTGAGGAGCAACACCTGAGGTTGACCTCTGGTCTCTACTTACATTTACACAGTTGTGCAATCTCGTACATATGAAGAAGTGCACACACATGTAAACACACACACAGATGAGTCATCGGAATCCAAGTGAAGTACAGCTTTTTTGTATCTGACCCCAAGACCACGGTCAGATGTGACTTGCTGCTGTGCCTCATCCATCATAGGTGTACAATGGCATTCTGCCCAGCTGCCCTCTGTCCAGTAGGTCAGACAAGCAGAGCAGGGCAGGTTTTCTGGTGTAATGATGTCCCATATGCCTTGAGCAAGATGGCAGATGTGGCAGTCTTGGGAGAACTGACTCTGCAGAGGTGAGGTACCCATGAATTCTGAGACCTGGCTAGGTTCTGTTTCCACCCCCAGTCAACCCATCATGGTGGTACCACCTGCTGTGGCCTAGAGTCTGGGACTCCATGTGCATGTTGGACTTCACTGTGAGCCATGGTCTTGCATCACACATTGGCAGAGTGGTCTGCCCATAGCCCAGGCTGCATGGATTTCAGGCCACCCAGGCGCCCTCTACCCTCCTGCCCTCTATTCTCCCTAATATTAACTGCAGGGGTCCTTACCCCCTGGACTGCTTGATCTGTCCTTGCACGGCTGTGTGGAGTTGGGAGAGATGTATTGACTGGCTGCTGAGGATCCAATAATGTTCTCTGCCATCAACACGACACAGCAGAACTTCGAATCTGTTGGCATCAGCAGAACTCTCTGCTAGACGGCCAGATTAATAGCATGAGGGAGTGAGGGCGGTCCAAGTTCCTGGTGTCAGCTTTCTCTGTAGTATACTGCCCCTGTGGGTGTTCCAAGAAAGCCCCACTTGGCAGTGGTGACCACTGCTCTGATCTCCAGGCGGTGGTTACCTGGAAACTAGGTGACTTAGAAATGAAAGCATACAACAGCACAAATCTAAAAGGAGTTTGAATTTGTTTAATGGCACAGTGTTATATCATTATCCCCCACAGTTCCACTGGTGACTTGGGATGAGGAACAGAAAGATCCTGGGAATTATATAAGTAGTACAAGGTCATCTCGAAGGAACATAGCAGAGGTGGTGGGTGTCAGATTCAGGGTCATATGATGTCAGAATCTCTCTTTTCACCCTCTATTCTGTCGGGCCAGAAAATAAAGCGCCAGGATCAGTAGAAAGATTTGCTAATGCTTAAACAAAGCCAGAGGGACCAGATTTGGTATTTCCAGACCAAGGTGCCTAGATAGACAGAATGTTCTGCATAGATGCCCAGGATATGCTTAGAAATATAGGTAGGGCTGGGACAGATGGACAGATGGACAGATGGATGAATGGAAATGGATGGATGGATGGATAAGAGATAGATGACAGATAGATAGATAGATAGATAGATAGATAGATAGATAGATAGATAGATAGATAGATGATGGACAGATGACAGCAGACAGATAAGTAAATAGATGCATAGATAGATAGATACATAAGTAGACAGATACATAGATGATAACTAGATGTTTGCATGGATGGATAGATAGTCAGCCATACAGATAGGTAGAGGAAATGATTTGCACCATAGATGTACTTAGATATATAGGTAGA